GCATTTGTTTCATGATCTCATTAACGATAGCCAAATGGGGGCCGCTTTAAGGCCGAAAATGCATTGAAATCGCACATTTTCACCATTCCGGGACCCATATCTCAGTTATGCATGGATGGATTTTGTTCAAATTTGGTACATACATTAAACATAATAGGACCTTGATGCACGTCATTTTTTTTTTTCGGATCAAGTTCGAAATAGCCGACTGGCGGCCATTTTGTTTTAAAGAATTCAGTTCTGGATCCGTATCCGAGACATGTCTGGATTGATCAAGTTCAAACTTCACACACACAAGGTACATCATGTCACAAATATGTATGTGCATTTGTTTCATGATCTCATTAACGATAGCCAAATGGGGGCCGCTTTAAGGCCGAAAATGCATTGAAATCGCACATTTTCACCATTCCGGACCCATATCTCAGTTATGCATGGATGGATTTTGTTCAAATTTGGTACATACATTAAACATAATAGGACCTTGATGCACGTCTTTTTTTTTTTTCGGATCAAGTTCGAAATGGCCGACTGGCGGCCATTTTGTTAAAGAATTCAGTTCTGGATCCGTATCCAAGACATGTCTGGATTGATCAAGTTCAAACTTCACACACACATGGTACATCATGTCACAAATAGATATGTGCATTTGTTTCATGATCTGCTTAACAATAGCGGAATGATGGCCAATTTAAGGCCGAAAATGCATCAAAATCACGTATTTTCACAATTCCAGAACCGGATCTCAGTCATGCATGGATGGATTTTGTTCAGATTTAGCACAATGTGTTGTACATATGCAGGTGCATTTCGGTCATGATCTGCTTTGAATGTATATGTCACTCAAATATGAACGGAACGGGGACGTGTCATTGACAATGACTTGTTTTTTAACGTGATCATATTATGTATGTCTAGACACTTTCTCTGCAATAATATTTTTTAGAAGCCCTTAGGATTTTTTGTTGTAGACTCTCGAAATCTTGTTCTTGTTACAGTTGCTAATAATTAAAACATGTGAAGTAACAAGTTCATCTGTTGAATTTCCGGTTGTGAAATACGTATTTTAACCCTCACAGCTAAACAAACCCAGTGTATGGTCGCGTTAAAAAAAATGGGACCAAGAAATCGTCCAGGGCGATTTTTCGGCAGTTTTTAAATTTATTTTTTAAAATATTTTGTCGTAATTTATCGGACATTTCAATCGTTCCTGACGCCTAAATCAGTCTATTTAAGTTTTTATTCAAGAGCGTGTTTATTTTGACTAGCGTAAGCTCTGTTTGGACAAAGAGCTGTTATCACTGTAAACAATGTTAAATTATTCTTCTTATGCTAAAGTTCATCTTTGAAAACAACTATTTTTTTATTTAAAAAAAATCATGCCATTTTCCCATCAAAATCCAAGCCAAAAGAGCGTACTCCCGGTACTACAACACCGGCAAATCTCTTCCGCGTTGCGTTCAATAACATAAACATATTTAAATAAGCTATGGTGATTTGAACGCATTGGCATCATCCAGCATTTTGATTGGTTAATTAGCGATTTGACCTATTAGCTCAACTCACGCAGTAGAAACACTGCGGATACCCTACCGCATCGAGCGTTTATATGCAATCGGAATCATTTGCGTACGATGAAACTAAGTTGAATTTTATTTGAATCAACGAATTTATTTTTTGTGCGTTATTATAATCACTACTGAGTAATATTCAACGTTTGTGAAACGTAGCATGTCCGGATTGAGCATATGTGATTGCTTGCTGCTACGCAATGCAGTTGTGTTCGTTTTTATTAGAAACGTCATTTAAAATATACTTTTGTTACCAATAAAATAAAAACAAATGTATTTGAAAAATTACACTGGGAGACACTGTAATGACATTTCAGGTGGTCTACTTTTTAATTCAGCAATAATTATTAATTATTGTTAATTCTGCAATAGTTTCTTTCGTCTTGGGTGGCCCAACTCACGGCGTAGAAAGTCTGTGTAGTTGGATACAATGAAAATGTCCCCCCAAAATATTTGATAATTATTTTTTTAATTTTTGAACCCCAAATAAGCACACATCAGCCGTGAAATCCCCAGGGCGATTTTTCGGATGGGCGAATTTACGGCAGAATCCGGTATTATATAAAGAAAGTATTATTATGGACATCTCACGCATATTGCCAATGTTTTATACTGTTTGCAGTTTGCATATGAAAGTGGTTGTTGATGCCCCTCCTATTATTCGACGTTGTTGACAATGCGCTAACAATGCCACTCGCACTGTGCACATTTTAGCACTAGATCTAGTGCCATTTTAGCACTAGATCTAGTACTTTTTTCGGATTAGTGCTACTAGCACTAACCACTCGCACTACGCCCATTTCGACACATTTACATACATGGAGATTAGGCTTAACCGGAAGTGCCCCTTTAACCAAAAGGACTGGTTCACAATTTCAAGGGGGTTCAGGCTCCAAGACATAATAGATCATTTCAGGTTGTAAAAATCACAAGAATTCACTTACTTTTTTAGCCCAGCCTTGCAGTTGAAGATTATACATATCAATAGATGGCTTCAATGTTGCAGCATATTTATCACTAAAAAGTCTCACAGTCAAGTCCGTCAGTTCCACCTGCGCATGTCAAACAAAAAGTTTAACCAATGATTAAATGCAGTTCTTAAAAATCATCAATTACATAAACAGAAGAGAACGGATTCAAATAGATGTAATACATGTTTTGAGTAAGTAGAGACATTAGTAAATACAGCTCAAGAGTACTAACCATTTTTTCCCCCCACAGAGTTGCTCATTAGCATTACTATTTTCTAGGA